AGAGATTTGCGGACAATGAAGAAGTAATCGAAGCTGTAAATGGTTATTTTGAGGAGCTTGACGAATCAGTCTATAGAGATGGCATTAATAGACTGGAACACCGCTATGAGAAATGTATCAGCCTTGGAGGAGATTATGTTGAGAAATAAAAAAAAAAAATTTTTAAAAACCTTGTTTTTCTTGGTCAGGCCGGAAACTTATCAATCCACCCTCGTACATGACTGTGTGTGTTAGTTACGCAATGAACACTACTTTGTTGCTGTGATTTAATAAATTAAGTAGTTTATTTAAATGGCCTTGTGGTTTTGTTATGGGTTTAGTTCTTGCTTTTATCTATTTTGAGTTGCAGACATAAAACTCGTGTGCAAATTTTGAAACTCTGTGTTTCTATTTTATGATTTTTGGAAATAACTGTAACACATTATCTTTAGTTACAAGACTTTTTTGTATTGCTACTGATATACTATTTCCAAATAATTAGTTTCTTATAAAATGTGAAAGTGATTTATTTAAAATTCAAAATGCTTGCAGAATATGGACAAATTTAATAGTAACATGTTCGGATAATAGATAATGAGGATTCCATTTATAAACAGGTAGACATTAGTAACAAGGGGTAGATACAGAGGGTGAAAGAGACGTTATTTTTTGTTGCTTAAGAAGAAATGTAGACCTCGTTCTTTCAGGACTGAAGCCAAAAATTTGTATTCCTATTAAAAAAGATGATGTAACCTTCAAATAACTTCGAAGATTAAAAGTTGCATTCAAAGTTATCAGTTAATTATCCCTTCAAAAGCATACAATTTTTGTCTAAAACTATTCCCGAAATAATGAGAATCAGTTAAGATATTTCATGTTCCTTTTGTAATAATTTTTGTGAACTTTATCTTTGTCCTTTGTAAGCATTTTGTTTCAACTCATCCACTTTTCTATAAAATTGTGAGCACAGCCCATTTCAATGACGTAATTGAGAAATTTCACCTTCTGCATCTACTCCCTGTTTCTAGCGGGCCGTCCCCTTATTATGCAAACATGTTCCGTAAAGTAGTTGTGGTATTTTCCGGGGTGCTTAGCCATGGCCGATGGTAATGGCTAGCGTCAAGGTTGTAAAGGATTTGGAAGATTTCTTTATTACCATCAACCACGGTCAATCAGCCCGAAAAATACCACAATTAGACAGGGATAGTGAAAGTCTTAACTTTATATGTAACCATAAAATTTGTCCATATTCTGAATGACTGTTTTGTTTTTGATTATAGTGTCGCAATCCATAAACTAATTGAAGGATTACCTCCACACAGCCTCTCCACTTGTCAGCTGCATGTCTAGCTAGTTCCATACGTTTTTGCTTTTTAATCTGGTGTTTCTTATACGCCATCTCGATAACTATTAAAACAACACCCCCTACAATTCCAGCGGCAACCAAAATAAAAACGCCGGCCATATTTTGTAAACCGAGAGTGTTTGGTGTTTTTTCAAATTGTTCGCATTGTTTCACAGGATTTCCTTGAAGTATCCACTTTGTATTAAGACTTTCCATGAAACCGCCTTAAAATATTATTTACGTAATTATTTAAGCCGTTTGTGGTTAACATTGTCTCTGTTACTTTCGTGGAAGTCCAGTATTGCTAAGGTGACGTCGTCTGACCAAGGAGAACCTTTTTGGAGTCCGATTCCATACCCAGACCTTCCGAATAGTTCTCCTGCGGTCACCAATTCACAATCTTGTGCTGCTTCAAATTCCAAACGTGAACTGTCCCATATAAATGCCATTAATTTTCTAAAATATTCCAACTTCATCACAAACTTTACTCCAATGAAGCAAGAAACTTGTATTACCCTTCTCTGACATCTCTTATCGCATCTTCAGCAGTGTTGTAATTATTTGCTTCCATGGTTCGATACATATTCGAAAGCTCTACTTGCCTTCTGAAATACATGTCCACTGCTGAACCTTTCACTGTAGCACATGTCAAATTTTCCATTGTGTTTCGTAACTAAAACCGATTTTCTTTGAAGGTCTGACTTTTTTACACATTTCATACATACTCTAGCATCGTTTATTCCAGTCAATTTCGTTTTTGGTCTTTCCAACACGAGAAAAGCTGCCAAGTTGGCAGTATACGATGCCACAATGATCATGGCAAATCCTGCCCAGACCATACCTAACACTCTTGCCGAGAAACTCCGCGGAGTTCCTAATGAAATTTAACTTTACAAGTTATCTTCCATATGGAAATACCTTTTACCTTCACCAATACCACTGTTCAACAAAACGCCCCACGCAAACCAAATGGCGCTAGAAAGATTTAAAGCATCTTCTTCCGTACCGTCAGCGTTAGCTAATTTGAATCTTCCAAAGGGAGAAAATCTATCGAGTAAATAAAGAACTAAAGCGACAACGTGGACCGATACCATCACCAATATCCACAATGTGTTGCTAAAAGGTTGCAGAAAAGACACCAGAGTTGACGATCTAGAAGGCTACAATACAGACGGTATTTTTACAGATAAAGAAGCAAATAAAATAATATAAGTAGAAATTATAGAGGGTTATAAAACCAAATAATAGTAGTAAGTAAACCTTGCTACGATATTAATCAAAAACAGAACAAAACATTAGTGCCGTTGTCCCACTGCTATTAAAATTATACTATGGTAGAGCCAGGAATCAATTCCCAATTTGTCGGCCGAGTCCACACCTATGACGATAATTGCAAAAAAAAAAGAAAACTGGAGCAAAGAACAAACCTATTGAATCAAACAATACTTCAAAAAGCATACGAAAATTAAAGAATATAGACCAAGAAAGAAGCCTAACAATCAGGTTATGATAAGAGTCAAACTAAAAATCTTTGATGAACTCATCAACAGATCAAATCAATCGACTCAAAAAGCTATAGAAAAAATATCAGTTATAACATCAGTAACACACTGGAGGAGGTCAAAAAGAAGTAAAAAGTCAATCGTTTTAATGAATGTTCAAAGGATTTATGATACGGTCGCTTTCTTATAAAGGCAAAACTTGTCTTTTTTCGTTTATTAATAAAGTTATATTTGTTTAAAAACACCTCGTCATTAGTCTATTAAACCTTTTTAAAATAGAAATGACAAAATAAAAGAAGCAACTATAAACTACAGGAGTTACGGAACGAAACAAGTGGACAATTTCAAACGATCTTTACCTTTTTCTCTAAAATTGTTATTCCTTGATATTTAAAAGGCTTACTAAACTCAATGAATTCGGCCCTTTCGGGGTTGATTGTGAGTGGTGCAACTATCATATCGGCTCTTTCGTTTACTAGTTCCCCAATAAGCCCAGTCCATTCCTTTTTACTGGTAACTGCATTAAAAATTTTTTAAATGAGAAAAACATAAATTTTGTAGCTGTACATTTTACCAGAATTATTTTTAATGACATAATTTCCAAACTGTCCATCTGGCGAAAGAGCCAAATTATACGTGAAGTTAATCTTTCTGGACAATTCTCTTAGTAAATCCATACAGTAACCCTTACAACAAAATTGTTCGTACTCTATATAAAACAAAGTCGATTATTAATACTTCGTTTTGGTACATCGCATTATTATTTTATCGGTAAATATTCACCGTCTTGCGATGAATTGTAATGAGGACATGGTATTTCTTCCTCGTTACACTTGTCTTTTTCATCTTTCAATTTTCTCACGTATACAAAAGGAATTTCTTCGATTGTTAACACTTTTAGGTGAGTGGGTATCATGAATCCTTCAGGTTTAATACTGGTTCTTCCTGGCCAAAGGATTCGTCTTTCTTCCACTGTTAAATGCATCCTTCCATTATCTTGTTCGGATTGCTAATATTAAATGAAAGTGACGCAATGATAATTACTACAAATTGTCACTTATGAGTAGTTTTAATATAAATTAAACATTAAACCTTTATTAACTTCCCATTAGGAAGTTATTGTAATTGGGTCGAAAAGTGAAATCGGAATTTTCATTATATTTCCACGTTTTAACATATTAGTAGCATGCTAGCCAATTTTTTTGATGATGTGTGTATGTACGTACGTACGTACGTACGTACGTACGTATGTACGTACGTTCGTATGTCAGCATTTTTTTCGTTTTCGATATCTCAAGAACGGATTGAGATATCGCCCTCAACCAAAATTTTTTCGAAAGATATTATCATAATGAAGATCTGAAAGAAATTTGAACGAAATCGGTCAAGCCGTTTTTTTTTTATAAAAAAAAAACGAATTAATTACAAACAATTTAATTAAAATACGTTCTAATCTAATCACAACAATGAAGTTACGGAATCAATAATAACTGTATTATCTAATGGGAAGTTAGTCGTATTAGCACCGACCAAAGCGTGCTCAGACCAATTTTTTAAAAAATTAAAGAGGAAGACTCACCCCTAATTACCACAAAAAACTTTTTGAGCAGACGTGTTTCGCCAGCGAGACTCGCGTTGATAATGCCCACGTATGAAGTGGGCGAAACACGTGTCCGCTCAAAAAGTTTTTTGTGGTGATTAGGTGGTGAGTCTTCATTTAGTATATTTACCACAGTCTCCTCTTTCTACTTTAAACATTAAACCCTTTTCAAACTTTAGTGATTTTTATGTAAGGCGAAACTATATGGGGTAAATCAAGAAGAATTAGGAAAAATATTTTGGCGATTAAAAAAAGGTATATTATTTCTTGTTCTGATGCTATTTTTTGTCAAAATCTTTTAAAAACATTAGAATTAAGATTGCATGATCGTTTGTCCTAATTTGTATTATTTATTAGTTACTATATTAAATACAGTGTAAGCTCTTTATAACGTATACGATATTATTATATGTAATAGGCGAAGGACTATACAATAACGAGATTCGTTGATTGTTTTATAGGATTTTTAATTACGCATTACCTTATGAAAATAATATTTTCCAACTGCCACTTGGTTTTTATTCCTTTGGATATTTACTACATCATATTCGGCATTGATTCTGTCCCCTTGATCGTCAAACGCCACCTTACCTGTCTCACCATTTAACAGCACTTGCTTTCTGATAAAATAAAACAAATCTTTCCCTGTCTCCCATATTGATCCAGAATTGTCACAATCTTTTGGGGCTTCAGTTATAATTTTTGTTTGGTTCATATCCCGTAATGCCGACGCAAGAACGTAACTAAAAAGCCATTTAGTTCAAGTTTATACTTTGTTTAGTTATCTAATCAAGTTAATCAAAAATCAATTCACGTTTAGAGTTCCGTACCTCAAACAGAAAAATTGGAACCCTTACAGAAGCGCTTCGTTATACGACTGTCGGTAAGTGAAAGAAAAAATACAAAAATAATTATTTTTTATTTCTATGTGGAATTATTAAGCGATAAACTTAATTTTTCCGACTTCGTCAAGTAGGATGTTTTCGATTATCTACCGTATAGTGCAGACCTCAAACCGAATGACTTCAGCCCTTTCGACTAGAAATCTGTACGTGCTTTTGTTTTTTTTAACTCATTGGAATTTGGAAAAAATAATCCTTTTAATAATTATAAAGTATTTATGTAGTTGTTAAGCTTTACGAAAATAAACGGTACCGAATCCTCAAGGTACGAATCCTATTTTTGTTTTTGTGTAAATATTAAATGGAGAGTCTTACGTGCTATCTTTAATGTGGGCTCTTTCGTTTGTTGCATTGACCAGTTTTAAACCCAATAGACCCACAGGAGCATTTTCTGCCTCCAGAGCTTGTTCAGTAACAATCCAAACGTAACCTTCTTCGGTCATATTGTACATTGCGGCGTCTCGAAATATGACCTTTGCATCTGTTTTACTGAAAGCAGCGGAAGGTCAAGTTTGAAAGCGTGTGTCTGCTTATACCTACAATGTCGTGTTATTTACCTTGCATACATGAGATATACCCTTGCTTGAGCATTTTTCATTTCTTGCAACTGCTCTGCGAATGTTTCGAGACCAGGTTCAAATTCGATTACCGATTCAACCTTCAATGAATATTTTGTTAAGTTGGTTCGGAATTAGTACGAAAAATATTCAAAAACGTTAAATGAAAAGTATGTTATCATGTAGTTAGAGGTAAGGGGCAGTTAAGAACAAAAGTAAGACCAAGACCAAGATTGTCCCATCGTCCTTAAGAAGTTATACCAGATATTGTGGGGTCAAATATTTGAAATGACAGCAGTTGAATGAGCGACTGCAAGATCTTACGTATGTCATGATATAAAAGTATTCATTCTCTAAGTAATTTTTAAAGCTATACGTCCAAATAAATTAAATTAATGATTATAATAATTACTAGTGTACATTACAATTAAAAATCTGCAAAAGTTCATAATTTCTTGAAATTATTTCATGAAAGTTATGGAAAAAATTGTAAAAAGTTTCATTTATTATTTTATAGTGAAAAAGCTGCGAAAAAAAAAAATGATAATAGAAGTAATTCTGCGTCTTCAATCAGGACACAATTGTAAATACTCCTTTCACTTTTTTTTTATTTAGACATCTAATTTCTCAAAATTTTTACTTTCGATATACAGAAATATCTAACGTAGCATAATAAAAGAACATTTGGCACCTGAACTTTGATTTCTACGTCATCTTCCAAACTTTGAGAAGTAGTTTGGAACCTTCCAAGTAACGCGCGACCGTCAGTATCAGAACTGTGAATAAATATAACTTTCTTATAATTGAAGTGTTTCAAAAGTTCAACCCATACATCTGCCTGATGAGAATAAGGAGGCACAGTTCTGAGAAATGAGACGTGAATATTCTAAAAAAATACGGAAAATTCTAGCAAAAGAAAATTGATAATATTTAACTTTGTTAACTCAAAGATTTCGAATTACAATAGATGCATTTTCGTTAAAATATTCAAACTCACTTTATCAGAAAACGCTGAATCTCTAGAAGATATACCTATGACAGGTATATGATAAAACCCACTCGTATAGGAAACAGCTGCAGGAGATAAATCTCCTGTAAGTGGGTGCGATACCACTACAGCATAAACCTACAACACATTTATTCGTGTATAATAAATAATTTGATCCATGAATTACCATTTCGTTAATAAAAATTATTACGAGTATATATTTTAGATAGGTATACTTTAAGGATTAAGTATGCTATTTCATCTTCCTGCCTTGGCCAATATTCTTCTATCTTTGCTATTGAGCTATTCCAATGAGAAGAATAATTGGCGCTGACCTTAGCCTATTTTAAGTTGGTCAAGCTGCTCAAAACATAAAATTTTTGGATTTGTCGTAAAGAAGGGGTTCCCTTTCAAAAATATGTTTGATTTTCTCGGTGAAAATAGCTCTTATTGAGACATTTAAAAGGTTTTGCAATTCTCAACACATTATTTCGTTTCGAGATAAATACGAAAATGAGAAAATTGCAAATTGCAACGTTTAATCTTATTAAAAAAATGAACTTAACATTTATTGAAGTTATTTGGGATATTTTATAAGTACGCTAGAACCCACTTTACATTAAATATTTTAATTTTGTGCTATAATAAGATAGGGCTAGTACAAAAAAAAATATAAATATGTAATTCATATCGTATTTTCGCACTGTTCTATTGGTAATTTTGTAATATATATTTTTTACCATACAACATTATTTCTCAGGTAAGGAATCCTATTTACTCCTTATTAGAAAAGTATTTTACCACCCTTCGCGTAGTTTCCACCCTTCGGTTAAGGAGGGACTGTCGTACATTCTTCTCTTGATGCGTAATATACTATTTTTAACTGGTAGTATTTATAACACGCATGTAGCTGTAATGCTCCCCGAAATGAATTTTTAAATTAAATTTGCATAATTGTTACGAGCATTAACAATTCATTTAATTTGTTAATTAATATAAGTCTAGTTTAGTCTCAAGAGATTGAGACGTGACATAAATTAATTTATAGAACAATTAAGGGTAACTGCGGATGAATATACACATATTTACTAGTTAATATTTAAATTTGCATACATATCTACTTGAATAATACAGAAAATTGAACTTTTACTATATTTGTGAATTTTTTATTTAGGTGAGTCAGTAAATATGGAAAAATTTACCTTTTGAGCACTTAATTAAGTTAAACAGAATAATACTTACTCTATTTGATATTAAATACTTGCATACATTCAAAGCCGTTTTTATTGGATTCTGATCCATTAAAATTGCTTTGTCATAATAAACAACACCTTTGGGGACATATTGCTGATCAAAGTTGAGATGCTAAAAAATTAGTATACAATATTCCTAATACTCATTTCTGTCGTTCAATAGATTTAAAATTTATTATTTATTCATTTATAAGTAGAAATGCGAAAATAGTGATAAAGGCGCTGAGTGTAACATTGGATTAATTAAAAGGCCAATAAAGTCGAAGCTTTAACTTTTAAAACTAATTGTAAGTTAATAATTATCAGATTTTTTACGTTATTTAAGTCAATAAAATTTTCCTGATTCATTTTTGATGTACAATAAACTGCTATCTGTTATTAATTAATTATCACTATGCAACAAACAAAACGAGCCACTAAAAAATAAAAAAAAAATTTAAAAATTGGTTTAAATATCTGATGGAAAATGGTTGTTAAAAATAACATAACAATAATTTATTACCCCGTTAGCAAAAATATATTTAATAACAACAATAATAAAATAAATAAAAGTTAAGGCCATAATAAATTTACCTGTATGGTCTGTTTGAAAAATACAGCGCTTTCGTTATTACTTAACACACCACCTATATTAAAACTTGAAGGGTTAGAAAACGCCCGAACAAAACTGAAAAAGAATGATACCAATAGTATTTTACACATTTTCATGTAGGTATTATTTCCATTGTTTGTTGTTAAATGGCAAACCGGAAGAAGTGGGTCTGCAAATGTGTGTGTTAGAATTAAGACTAAAACCGCGCCCGTTGTCCCAGCAACTGCTCCAGATGATATCGATCCTCATAAACTCGAGGGCCAATCCAAAAGGTTATCCACATTCAAGGATAAAATTTCAACTAAGTTTAAGCAAAAAACAATTACAAACCTTCGACTAAATTGATAGGTCTATTAGATGTAGTCTTATCTAAGTGTAAGGGAACTGACCCTAGTTTTTCTGCTTTGGTCCCCATTCACCTGATCCAGTGAGTGTATAAATATCTTAAACAATTATAATAAATTGTTACATCTTCTATTTTAATGTCATTTTCTAAATAATGATTTCTATTTATACGTGGATAATTTTAAAACCAAATGCATAGGTATTTTCCACGGTAGTCGAATCAAACTGAATTATCCTTAAGCTTTCTTTGGATGTCCTTTTATATTTTACAATTATTCTATCAACTTTTACGTCAGTAAAACTACTATTTCATTTTTATTTTCCATTGAAACTTTGCTTAGATTTTACCCTTTTAGAGGTTGAATTTTGAAAAAATTCGTTATTAGTGAGCCTGACCCACGAGTCATCGAGTGACCCATTCGATAATTTCAAGTGATTCGCTTGAATCCCGAAAATAAAGTATAATATAAATTAGTGGCGGGGTTGAAACCAAACATAAAGATGTTCTATTACATGCAACTATCAAATGCATAGGTATTTTCCACGATAGTCAAATCAAATTGAATTATCCTTAAAGCTTTCTTTGAGTGTCCTTTTATATTTTACGATTCTTCTATCAACTTTTACGCCAGTAAAACTATTATTTCATTTTTATTTTCCATTTGAACTTTACTTAGATTTTACCCTTTTAGAGGTTGAATTTTGAAAAAAATCGTTATTAGTGAGCCTGACTCACAAGTCACCGAGTGACCCATTCAATAGTTTCAAAAAAACATAAATACAAAACGAGCACTGAAAATATATTTCCTTCAAACCTCATATCAAGGAGGCCGACCATTTTTTCAAGGGTTGGATTAATTGCAGAACCAATTAGATGAAATGAAATGAAGATACCATACTTATTACTCATACTTTGGTTGATTTTGATCCGCAACTAAAAAAGGTTGTCGACACGCTCTACACCATACAATAGGGCACGTTTAGTTGTATTGTGATAAGTTTGATCATTAGTAGTGGCAGAAATTAGTAGCAAATTTAAAATTGATAATTTCGTTAGTTAATTTTACACAGTATTAAGAAACTTATTTCGTAATTGTTTCACGATGCAGATATTATATTAGCTAATGCACAGTTGATGAAACAGTTTTTGTCAAGACGATTGAAGATCGTGAAAGCACCTTCTCTTCTCTATCTTAAACGATTTCCGTAGTTGCGAAAGTAAGAAATTGCATCATTGCTTCAGTTTTGAAATTAAATTCGAATACAGCACAACACAAATCTACAATTAAACTGACTTGCATTGGTTTCTGATCAAACCACATAAAATCAAGATGGTTTTATAGACAATTTCAACAAAAAATATTTTCTTTGCAAAGCATCCTTAAATGTAGACGTAAGTTTTACTCAGATTGACCGTCACAAATTGATAGACAAACGAAAAAATATTAAAAACAAGAGCTTAAAATTGAAAATTTTTAGAATGCAAATGAAACTGCTCATTTTTCAATTTAAGGTAAAAAAGAATGCTCTTTATAAGGCGTTGACTGTCTGTTTGCAGGTTTGTTTAAAGGTAATTTTTTGAGAGATAATTTTCAGCTATGTTTCAGTTGAAAGCAGTTCAGTTCTGACATCTCCGATTCTAGCCAGAATTGCTGCTAACATCTCGATCACATTCTAAAATTTCTCAAAATTTTAACAAAATTGTTTTCTTAATATATCACTATAGAAGTTATGTAAACGGTTAATATGTATTGAAGATGCTAGCGATGCAACGGTAGTGTCATAATGGAAACAGAAGCGGAAACAGAAGTAATTAGTAAATTTTTGCGGAAGCGGTAACGGAAGCGGATACGGAAGCGAAAGTGTAATGATTTTAGGTGACTCTTTTATGCAGCTTTGCAACGAGTGATTCCATTTAAATTGTGTTTTGGAAACGGTCAAATTCAGCCAACAGATAAAAGTAATAATTTTTTACGACTTGTTTTATTGTTCCGATATATTGATTTTCAAAAAGATGAAAAATAAGATTTTGTTAAATTTCGATAAGCTTCCGTCATAAAAATTGGGAAACAGATGTGAAAAATTATGCGGTAGCGGAAGCACAGGCCTGTTTGTGGTGGCTAATATTCTTTAGTCAAATGAATCTCAAACTCGTTAAAATGCTGCGATTGCGATATAACCCGCTCAAACTACCAATCGCAGTGGGATTTTTTACGCGATTGTTGTTAAAAGGGCAAAAAAAGACCAAAAATTCTGATATTCTGCAAAACACTTCAAATGTGTCATCTTTAAGGATTCTTCTGCAGCCAATCGTTTTTTTTTTAATATGATCTTCACGATTGATCGTTGCTTTCTATGTATGTAACAAAGGGGGTCCCATCGACATCTTTATATCTCCCGGCGATAAGCGATTCAAATTGCGAGAAACATCCCCCTGTTGTGATGCTAGATGCTTGTTGCGTATTTAAAAATCTGTATTTTTTATCTTTCTTAAAAATAATTGAAGAAACAAATTATAATAAAATTGAAAAATTGTCTTTAATCATTATGTATCAACTTTTAAACTCCGCAAAGTCCAAATTTAGTTCTGTAGCAACAACAGACATCGAATGAATTACATATATTTCGCATACTGAAAGGTGACAACCAATATCGACGTTACATTTTTTTAATTTTGTGTGGTAAGTACTCATTGCAACATGTATCTAATAGGCAATCACTTTGTACGTCACTCACAGCAGATATTTTGAATATTGACTGAATATTTCGTTACTTCGATGTGGTATAAATACAGCGTAAACTCTATATAATGACACTTAAGGGACTGATCAAGTGGTTGTTAAATGGAGAGAAATAAAAATAATATTTTACTATTCTATAATAATATTCATTTACCAATATGGTACACATTTTGCAGACGAACATTATTATTCATACATTGCGTATAGCCTGTTATCTTCGTCTGATGTTTTTTGCTGCTCCAATATTTTAATTACGTATCTTACTCATATCTTGAGATACTGCTGGATCAATTTGATTATATAAAAAGTATTTTTTTAATAGTTTCGCTGCATCAAGTGCTTGTTTGATGCTTGGTGGAGGGACAGGATCGTCTTCTTCAACAACGTACACAGCTGCAGTTCTTATCTATTTCGGCAACTTAGAAAGAACTGCTCAATGATTTATAATGTCGCATTGTTGTCGTTAAATAGAGTGAGCGTGACGCTATATAGAGGGTAATATTGTATAGAAAACAATATAAACCAACCAAAGTCAAGCAATTTCGAGTGACATTATAAACAGTTTACACTGTATGTGATATAAAAGCTGTAAATCCACGCATACTATTAAATCGCTTCGCCTTCAATGAGACAACGGCCTAACAGAATATCGTCGTTGTGCTCGACACTATCTCATTAGATATAAAGTTACGTATAATGCTACTTTCAGTTAAATAGTTGTTTCTTTTTTAATTTGGCTCGTATAAATGAAATTTCTGCTTCAGTTACTAAACGCCAATGGCTGATTCGCTGAATCAAAGAACGCCTAGTAAACCTTTTTACAGTAGCACACAAGAAAAAACTATTTAAACACAGTTACGGTTCTGTAATAAGTAATTACTATTAAATAACTATTATTCCACTTTATTTAGACCTGTTGATCGTTATTTTACGACAGGAGAAATAGTAAGTAAAAGAACCGTTAAATATAACAAATGCAATAGATGCACTATCGTCTCTAGACTTTGAAGTACAAAAATATTGAAATTTTCGATGCCCAAAAGTTAACCATTTATCTTCATAAAATTTAAATGTCATGAATGAAAAATGGCTGTTATGATACAAATAAATTTGAAACAGACGCTGTGCAATAAATAATTTATTCGATGCATTTAACGTGAAACAGTGATTATCAACTAAAGAAATTATTTAATAGATATATGCCTATTACCCTAAGAATTTGTTATTTAATTTAACAGCAAGCTGGTCTACAAATGAGTAAACCCCAAATGGTAAGAAAAATGGAACTTATGGTTTATGACTGACTTTTTAGATTTTTTGGCTGATACTATTGAAAGTGTTGTAGGTATATATCGCCTTAGATCCAGTACACCATTTGTACAAAATTAAAACACCTACAAAATGGTTCTTTATGGACCCATATCGGACCATGTTTCACCGAGAAAAGTCAGAAAAACGATTTTTTTCTTTAAAAACTCATCTCTGGTAATTTACAACAATATGCGCAAAACGATAGTTCATTATGTCTACTTTAAAAAGGTGGGAGATGCTTGTCGCTTGTAATTTTTGAAAAATTGCAATATAGGTGAAGCTTTTAGAATATTATTTTGTAAATTGCACCGTATTACCCTGAGTGATCCTATTTGCATTTATCAAGCGGATTGTGAAACTAAATATTATAAATTAAGATTAGTTTGTATAAGATTGTAGTATAACTTTGTTAAAAGCTAAAAATCTTTCCTAGGGGCGATACGGATTTGTCCAATAAAAAAAGTAAGACATTTCTTGTACGATTGCATATTTATTATTACATATAAAATTGTATTTTTAGATGACGGTGAGAACAAAAGAAGTTAATGAGTAAAATGCCAAGGATGATGTCCTTCAGGTAATCCTTTGGCAGCAGCCAAGGCAGCTGAAGTTGCACCTAAGGTGGCTTCCTTGGTGATTGCAGCATGTTTTAATGTTACTGCAGCACTAGATTGTTGAAGTGCAGCTAGCTTTGCAGCAGTAAAATCTAAAAAGTTTAATTGACTTAAGAGGAAGTAAGCCAAAATTAATATAATATGTTCAAAGAAACTGGATTTCCGGATTCTAACCGTTTCTTTTTGATGAAATCACCATGACGGACTATGGTGGACGTAATAAGTAAAAAAAAAGAAAAAAGTGAGTAACTTAAAATTTGCACACGAATACAAGAAAATATGGAAAGAAAGGGAGAAAAATCCACATTATTTGATGAGGAAAGAGTAAAAAGATAAACAAATTTTAAGAGTAAGATTTAAACTGGAAAGTGAGAATACGACGACTAAATATTGGGAAGAAGAAAAGAAGAAAATATGTAGCTTATGCAAATTGGAGCTTGGACCTGGAAATGGTGCAAAATAATGAAAATTTTAAATGGTCTCAAAAGGATTTACGAGGGAAATCTTAAGGAGGAGGAATATATTAGAACGGCGAGAAGGATAAATATGTTTAAAGATTGTAAAAAATGTAAAGTAAATGCACCGTTTTTAATAAAGCTATCTATCTACCTATCAATGATAAACAATTAACACAATCTTCCATCAAATTGGAAACCTAATTTGTAAAAACAGAAATGCCTAAGAATTTCGTAAAGGATTGAATAACATCGTATTTTTCAACACCATTTCCAATACAACGTCCAGAATAAGCATTCAAGTTAAGCTTCAATAATCACCGATGTAGTGTTTTTGTCAATAAAATACACCCTACATTCCATTAATTAACATTTAATTATACAGTTACGGTTACGAAAGAACAATTCGTTCTTACAGGGAACCGCTTGCAAAATGAAAGTGAATTTAGTTCACTGAGTTGTAAACATTTTTGATAACAGACAAACGAGTACATTCTTCATAAAAGTTTACCCTACGCGGAAACATAAAAATAACAATTTGTGATTTCATTCTCTACGCAAGAAAAGATTACATCCCACAGGTTGAGTCTCTAAAATGTGTTGTCAGCAGGACATAGGTATAGGACCAACTTTTTGTTAGATATAAAATTTTAAGAAATAAATTAGACCTAAAAAGATTTTGAAGAAAATAATTATTTTTAGTTAGTCCTTAGTTAAAGACACAAATTGTTAATACTCGTCCTTCATATGTTCTTTAAAGTAGAAATTCTTAAATGCAATTAAAAGTTCGAGTACTTTATGTTAGAACTAAACATTAATAATATATAATTCGAGAAAAAAAAAACAAAAATGTTTGCTTTAAAGTGCATAATGTATATTAGGCCCGAAGACCGAAAACGCTCAGTTTTGTCAATTGTTGAACGCTCACAAAAATGCATGTGTCGCAATTTAAATGTACTATGTAATTCGAAATGTCATTCAAACAGTTCTTGTAAAAATAAGTAATGTACCTATGTAAAGTACTTGAAAGTTCGAAAAAAACCCTCGTTTGTATTTAATTATGGTTGTCAAAAATTAAATCGTTTCTAATAAAGTAAAAAAGGCATGAATTTAAGTTTGCGTTGTACTCCACAATAAGTTAAATGTGTAGAAAATAAATCGAAATTCATTTGTTTAATGAATAACTTTTCGCTTTTTCATTCATTCATTCATATATCATATGCTCGACAATATAAGTGTTCAGTGTAACTTTCTTCCTAGAACTGAAAAACAATTATAAGAAATTTAATATTGTTGAAATGATTCGGCGAGAAAAACCGAACCCATCTTTGGTATCCAATTATAGTTGTCAATAATTGAATTGTTTCCTAAAAACTGAAAAATGGATTGAAATTCATTTGTTTTATAAGTACAATATAAATCTCATTGTACGCAGGTAGAAAGCGGCAAATAATACAAGTCGAACATTAAGAACGCGTTGTGAGCGTTCAACAATTGACAAAACGCGTTCCGGCTGTTTAACAGTTACCAGAACGCGTTGCGAGCGTTTAAAAACAGCCAAAACGCGTTCTGTGCGTTCGAAGGCAGCCAGAACGCGATGTGGCCGTTTTTTCCCGGCCACTGAGCGTTTTCGGTCTTCGGGCCTAACATATACACTATCTGTTCTTTTATAAAACAGCTTACCAGATTTCTGAACTTGTAAAGCAGCAGCGGCTGCATTCTGATTTATAAGTGCAGCCGCATCAGCTTCCTTTGCAGCAGCTATTTGTTGTTTTTCAGCTACATCCGCTTTAGCTTGAGCCAATCTCTGCTGTGCAGCAATGACCGCATTTGCAGCTGCACTAGCCTGTTGTCGATGAACGGCTGCAGCAGCTTCGGCTTTTTGTAACGCTAAAGCTGCTTCCGCTTCCTTTTGAGAAGCTATATGTTGCTGTGCTAAAACGTCGTCTTTAGCTATCTGAACGCGCTTTTGAGCTTCAGCTACTGCAGCTGATGCTTCCTTAGCCGCCGATATAGCAGCTGCTATTTCGCTAGGTCCGGGACCGAGGTGATAAGCCAATTTACCGCCGCCCTTTTTATAAGTTATAAAAAAATTTAACGATCTAGCTAGTATAGGAGCAAAAAAGAACTTCTTTTTTAAACCAACGCTAACGGTTTACCTTTTCTTTTAAAGACTTCACCAAGAGAGGATTTTTCTGCAGTTGGTGACGTACAAAGTCACTAGATAGAGATACACTACCTGGTACGATGTACCATTATATGAACTCAAAAGCTTACCTTGATGAAGCCGTAACACAAAAAGGCGAAGCGTTGGTTATTCTTTGAAAGCACAGAATGGTGCAATTTTGATTATTATACGTAAATGACTTTAACTATCAAAATGAATTAATAAGAAATCCTTACAGTTCCAAATTTGGAAGTAAAATCTGCACCAGAGTTTCCATAAAACCGTTCAGGCCAGCCAACACCGTCCCAACCAAAACCCGTCCCTGTACCCTGATGTTGGACAGCGTAAGAAATTCCAGAAGCTTCTCTTTTCAAAATCTCTTTGCCATAACATATATTGGTGAACAATAACACGAGTAATAGTTTGTTTAACTACATAAAAAATCAAAGAGTTAAACTGACAATGTTGTTTAGTCGTTATTGTACAACACAACTTACACTTTTCAAGAGCATGTTTGACATGGTTTCGTACGAACAAACTGGACACTGTCTGGAACTACCGAATGGATTATTTCTTCTTCCCTTTTATACTATTTCTAAACAACTGTTTCAATCATTTACTTAGTTGCGAATCTATAATTAAATGGAGTTATACAATTTCTTGCTACGGCAAAGGGATATTTAAGGTGTGTCACGAATTCAGGTAATACCTCAAACTTTCGATTTCATTCGATCCTTAGCTCCTTGGGATAATCATATCCTTCGACACCCGATAACGTAATTATATTTCCGATGCTGTCTTATTATATTTAAGTAAGGTTGTGTCGATTTTTTATAATTGCTCTTGTTTTAAAAGGTTGTCCAGAAACCTTTGAGCGGTATTTCGTAACAGAGGGTATAATTTCGTGCAGAAACAATGTTAAATTAATTGCTTTTTGTTTTTTAATTACTATAACAAATTGCATTTAAAGACGGCGAGATAACATGTTGATTACGGCTTAGACGAGTAAACATAAATTTAGATTCATCGACTGAAAATTGTTTCATTAATTAATTGCAAACGTTGAATGTGATTCCTATTGTGTAAAGGCTTGTATCATATATCCCACATGTAATATTTTTGTCATTTTGCTTTCTATTTATACAAATATTACAACGTTACATGTAAATTATTTCAAGTTCCTTTTTTCAAATAAATTTTTTACATTACGTTCCTTATGGTCCAGGCAAGTTGGACTTTCCAAAACTGACGATTTTTCAAATAATTCACTTGAACTATTAACAGGTTACAATTTTTAACGTTTTGACAAAGTATTCGTTGCATAGATTTTTAAAAATTTCAAACATCGCGAGATCAGTTGACGTATAGACGGAAGGGTAAAGGGGATGTAAAATCAAAAAGCTTCATTTTATAATAAAATAATATAATCTAGATTCTAATCAGTAAATCAACAGCATGTATTCTAAAAAAATTTTATCAACCTTTTTTGTCTCTCCACCTAGCATTAAAAAAATAATTAATATATAGATCCCTTTACTGACCTTTACAAAAATGAGGCCTTAATCACGATTTAGAATGTACTGTAGGTATAAAATAAAACACTTTCTTAATTAAAAAAATGAAGCAACTCGAGTAACACCTTAAAATAACTTGTAGTTTATTATTTTTGTATTGAATATTTTTTAAAAATTGTGTAAAATTAATACCTATCGCATTCTAATATAAAAATTCGATTTAAGGAAATTTGTGAAATGGATAAAACCAATGAAGTTTTAATTTATTTACTCACCGAGGATTCTTCTACTTTTGAGTATTGTTTCTGTAATCGAAGTGATTATTTTTAACGTATAAAGTCGTTTATTTGCAATCGACAAATGACCAGTTTGTAATACATATGGTCCAATTTTTTTAAATCTTACATTTACCTAATTAGACTTAGTAGCATGTATAAATGAATATTACATGTTATTGTTTCTAATGACAACAATGAAATGTATTTTATTGCAATAGTTGTCCTATTATTTATTAACCACTGACACGTTTTAAGGTGTTGTTAATCACATTTAAACATTAAAAAAAAAAACGAGGGAAACAATTTATTGTGAATGAAGATATATTTTCACGCACGCCATATACATATAAGTAATATTAAACAAATATGATTTATTAACTTTTGTGTGATACAACAAAATTTCTGCTGGTTTGTACACACTGTAGCATCCGCAATTCTTTTATCGTACGTATTTAATATAAATATAATGAAAAGTTCGCCTTTTTTTCCGTTACTACTAAGTAAATTTAGCACCCCTTAGAGCTCATTTCAATTAAAGAAAATATTCTCAATTATATATTTATTTAAAAAATATTTCACAACACAATCTGTTATTTATCTAAAGATTAAATTATCAATACAGATACAACATTAAATTAATTGTATTTTTAACTTATTAATTAAGTATCACGCAATGCTAACAGAGAGTTCTTACAAGTTCATGACTCTTATGGAAAGTTTTTACACAAAAAGTACAATTATTATAGAAAAGCAAAAAATTAAATGGTAGGACATTACATCATTTGCTATCAAGTTCGTGTCTAGCTAAGAAGCAAACGTTTTTAACTTTTCTTAAGCCACTTCATATCACATAAGTAAATATTTTTGGAAAGTCTTCAGAACTGTCCGATGTTGTGACGTTAAGGGTACACTGAGGAGAGACGTTTTTCAATTACGCTTATTTTTGTACTGTTTTCAAAAACTATATGCATTGATCATTGTTCTATTAAAATTCTTCTGCACTCTCGGACTCTTCTTCTTCCCTTTCATCGTCAGAACTTTCGAAAGCATTATATGGTTTCGACGCTCTAGTAAAAAATGAATCTCCGTCGTCTTCTTCTTCCCGGTTTTTCTTATAATGACTTTCATCACTGAAATCGGCTTTAATTCTTGCTTCAACTTCGTCATCCGATAAGTCCCTTCGATCAGGTTCTGTTTGTTGTTCTTCATGTTGCGGTTGTTGAGGTGGAATGGCAGCTTCGGTGGTTATTATTGGGGCTGGCAATGTTACTGCACCGTTTAACTGCGCAGTCAGTTGTGGAAAAAACGCTTGCCCTAAGGCGATATCTTCGGGCTTGGTGTTATACAGAAAGGGATTATAGATTAAATTTTCTGCAGGGTTGGGGGCCCTGGGGAGGGGTGGCACAGGGCCGGGATACGTAGGTGACGGTATTTCTGTACGGTGTCGTACATGAAATGCCCGAAAAACCGGGTTCTGTGTAATTGGTGCTTGGACTTGCTCTACAACATTTTTAATTTCAGCATTGATGTTATGAGTTATTACTTCGGAATTGGTTTGGTTTGCAGGTTGCTGTGAATTTTCGGGGACAGCGAGGTTTTGTTGTTCTGCATTTTGTTGTTCAGATGTGCTATTGTTTGCGGAGATTATTAAATTTTCGTTTTGAAGGTTCGGATCCGAATTGTGCGTTATGTTTTGGTTTGCTAAAACCTCGTAGTTAGATTTCGACTGAATGTTCTGTTCTTTTAGTTGTATCATGGTTTGGTTGAGAATCATAGGGGCTTCAGATTGCTGTACAGCAGGTGTATGAAGCGGTTGATTGTTCTTATTAGGTGGGGGACTATTATAAATATTAAATGAATATACTTCACCACTATGCTTAACTAATGGCTTTTGAGTTTGGGTTTGAAGCAACCTCTGTCTTTCCATTTCTTTTTGTCGTTCTATTTCTCTTTGCTTGTTTAACTCCCTCTGTCTCTCTAATTCTTTTTCTTTTTCCATTTCTCTTTCCCTTTGGGGTTTATAATATAGGACTCCCGTATAGAACGGAGGGGTACGTTGATTACGAAACTCTTCCATTGTGGGAAGTTGATGACCCCGTTGTTGAGGTGGTGGTGGTGGTGGTGGAACATATTTTGGAACAGCGTTATATTGACCCTGGAATTGGGCGCCATATGGTATTGCATTATGCAGAGCATATTGAGAAGGCAGGGATGGTGGCGCGGATTGATGTAATTGAGGTAGATGTGCAGACTGATGTAAGGGAGGTAGAGGTGCAGACTGATGTAAGGAAGGTAGATGTGCTGACTGATGTAAGGAGGGTAGAGACGCGGATTGATGTAAGGGAGGTAGAGGTGCAGACTGAGGTAAGGATGGCGTTCCGTAAGCTTTTGAATAAGGATTTGACATGTAGGGGCTGCTACTTAAAAGTGCGGCTGGACTTATTTGAGCAGCAGTAAGAGCTGCGAGTGACGCTTGTTGGCCGAAAGGTAGAGCGTAGCTTTGGGGTAGAGGTAAATTTGCAGGATACGAAGGAAACTGATAAGGATAAAAGGCTGTCTGGGCATGTTGCGCATCTGATCCCTTCGATAGTGGCAAGTGGAATGACTGTTTGAGTGGATGGTAATTTTTCATAACAAACTCACGAGGTGCTGCATTTGGAATTGTGGCGGGGTAACTGTATGGAATGTTTCCTTCTCTTTGGCAAGTTATATGTTTTGTGTACCACAGAAAGATTGAACAAACTATTATCTGTGAAGAAAAAGTTATGTTTATCAGAACAATTAAACTTAATTATTATTCTTGCAATTATTTTAATTTGATTTGTGTCTTATTCTTCAAATTTATTAATTGGAACATCCAAATAATGAAAGAGTAAATTGATATTTAGATAGTGAAGCTTGTTTTATAAATTTAGAAACGTCTTAATTAATGTTTCAGTTTTTTAATTTGATAAAAAACCTTTAATCTTAAATAATCTGCGTTAATTCACGATCACCACTTTAAATATATATATATAAGCACTTGGTTGTGTATTAAAAGCAATAAAAAAATTTACCATAATAAATCGAAAAACAATTTTGGTTGATATTGATATAAGAAAAAAGAAAATAAAAAGACAGAAATAATTATTCACTGTGGCACTTGGTACAATAATCCAATGAAGGCACTTTATAAAACACACATTAAAGGCAGCAGTCACGCATTTAATTTTCTCGAAATTCTATTAAAAAATGTTGAAACACTTGAAGATAATGGAGCACTGTTAATGATAAGTTTTAATTTTCGGTGGTGTTTTTGAATTACCCCTAATCATATAACTGCGAACCTTACCGTTAACTTCATTGTGATGTGAGATCGAAGACTTCATAATAACTGCCAATGAAATTGGCGGTTTTGGTATTTATACATTTTCGTCAGGTGAAAACTGAAGACTAGCTCGGTTAATCATTATTACCGAAGCAGAGCTGTAAGAGGGACGGGACTTGTCAGTCGTGGGACACTTCTTCGCCTTTCTTGTTTACCAAACTTTTTATGCAAAATCTTACTAATAAAACCAACGACAGCCAATGATGTTGATCATAAAACGTATGCTGGTCAAGACAGTTTCAATTACAAGACTATACTACGTACGCTTAATACCTTTTTGTAAAATTCATCAATATTCTCTTTCGAATAATCACTAATTTATATGCGGTTTGTGGAGAATTGATATGAACGAATATTTTTTAGTACATTTTTAAAAAAAGAATTATTAGATCGCTTTCATTTCCACTACGAAATAATTTACGAAGTTTTTACCTGTCATCCTTGGTATTAAAACGTTTCAGTTTTGATATTTTTTAATTAATTTAATATATTCACAGAGATTAACTCAAATAATAAATGAACGCGATTCTTAATCACAACATTAATTAATTAAGTAATTGACACTAAAGACATTATATTATTATAAAAAAAATAAAATCCGCATGGTATTTTACAAAAAAAGTCAAATTTTAAGGTTGAATTAGATAAATAGAATACATAAATAAAATCGGTCAAGTGCAAATCGAACTAGCGCCCCGCGAGTAGGTATGAAAATAGTTCGTCGGTCACGGGAATCAAATTTCGAAGATTTTTACAGCTTTTCCGAGTATGTTTTAAGTTGCCCTTCACAAGCAGTTCCCAAAACGTATAATTACTGTTTTACAATTAAAAAATAATTTTTTTTGGTGATGTATAACTACAAATTTTCGGTTGTTTTTAATAATGTTATATTGTCAAATTTCATGATTCTATGCCAACAGAAAGTACTGTACAGGCCTTGATTCCCTTGGTAGTGTCAAAATATGCAGCAAAATGATCATATCTTTGACTTTTTCACAGCTCCAAGGGATTGCAGACATGAGTTATTTCAACTTGATACCTCCACGCATTCCTGTGAGAAAGCAACTTGACAAACAAACAGACTAACAACAAACTGATCCTACAAGGGTTCCTTTTTTCCTTTTAAACTACGGAACCCTAAAAAGGATAATTTTTAACGATTCTAATTCGTGAAAATAATAAAGTATAAAATTGTTTTTAAGTGTTTACTTTAACGTAACATTAACGACAACATTTTTAATTACGTTGACTTCTATGTTTATTTCTTTTATGTTTAAAGGAATTGTATAGGTGAATATTTGATACCTCTATGCGTTCATGAGAAACAGATAGAGGATGAAATATCAATGTCGGTTTAGCAAAATAAAATCCTTTTGCCCCTATCATATCGCTTATTAAATAAATTAATACTTATTATATTACAAAAGGAAAGGAATGCTATAGGAACCAACCAAAAAAGAAGAGATATTACTTGTATAGTAAAGGATGAAAACAAATGGCGGTAAACAATTTATTACGGTAGTTTTTAGGTGTTTGGAGAGACATTGGTGGTGTTCATGAGCTACGAATAGATGCTGATATAATAATTATGTAATATAGAACAATCGCCTACTTATATTTGATAATAGATAGGTTAATATTGTTGGTTCGCAGGTATTGTGAAATCTTTTATAACTTACAGGTCTGTCATGAAAAAAACTACCGTGCGCATTCATGCAAATTTTTCTTCTCGCTTGCTCATTGCAATAATGACGTAGCAGTCTATTACTTTCATAGCACTTCCCTTTTTTTTTTCCTAAAAATATATTAAAATATAACGTCCTACGGAAGTCGAATAAGTGCTGCTACATAACAGAAGGGTTTCTTTGATTTGTACGTCGATTCT